GAAATAATTTCCGAAAAAATTGTTATTTATATATATTTTTTTTTCTGCTATTACCAATATATCTATATCCTTGATAATTCGCCATATATCAAATTAACTCAATATTTAGATTTATTTTTTTTCACTATTCCATTAATGAATAATTTAGAATATTAATTTCTAAAATTTATTTCATTATATTATGCCTAAGATTTAAAAATCTTATCGACGATATAAATTTCATTTGTATATTCATATATTTAATTAATTTCAATATAAAAATAATTTATAAAAAAGTCTTATAAAACTTATCATTATAAATCGACTTCATATCTTCCAATCACGATAATTAAGTTGGTTTTCTATCTAAAGAAGAATTCGTAGAGCTAATATATTGAATTATATAGTAATACTTAAAATCTAATATATCTCTTATTAAATGAAAATCAATAAATATTCAATCAAATATAGAAATTTACATAACTATTATTGCTTCGAGAAAAAATTTCTTTAAATAGAATATAAGAAATAATTCAAATTAAATATAAGAATCTAAGAATCTAAGAATCGAATTTCCATAATTCCAATATATATTTTCAAGATCAATTTCAATTATATTTGTTGAAATCCAAGTTAAATCTTTTATTTTTTATATAAATCTCCTAACCGTAAAATTCTATCCTTATACTCGTAAACCTAAAATCGCCTTTAAACCCTAAACCCCAAGCCCCTAAGACACCAAACCTGCAATCTTTGACTTTTAAAGTCCAAAAACCGTTCCTAAATTCACGAGGCTACAAGCAACAATACCTACCCACCAAAATCCTGATCCGCCTAGCGCATATATATATATATATATACGGTGTATATACATATATAAGGTAAAGATCCAGCAAGGTATACAGACAAATGGATGAGATTTTCGATTCTGAAACCTGATAACCGTTTATGTCAGGCTATGCCTCTCGACAGAAGTGCCTCTGTTGGGCCCTCCTTCAAGATATGTGGGACTCGCAGCAGCATGACAAGTTCTCAACTACATGTTCTCAACTGAATCACTCCGTCAGATCCGCTGTCTACTCCATTCGAGAAAAGCCCCATCCACATAGGAGAGGCGAAAAGCTCCGAGGTAGCTTCAATACAGGGGACATGTGAGAGCACGCGAAAACACTGTACAAACGCTTGAGGACATCGGCTGGAGCAATGGCATCTCGCCAACGTCTTCCCGCTCGCCTGCCTAGCGTCTTGCAAGACGGAACAACTTATTGTTGCTGCTGCTGCCAACATCAGGATACCGAAAGGGTCTCCTTTCTGGCAGACTTGACAACGCATGGCAAGAGAGCGTGAAGCTGTAGTTTCTGGTTCTCCGCACACATGCACAAGGAGAGCTTCGCAACTTCTGCAGGAGCGACAAGATAATGAAAGCCCAAGTCCAACACTCAGCAGCTGATTCTTGTAACTTCCATCTCAGGTTCTTGGCGGAGGATGAAACAACTGCGCATGCAGTGCCGATTCTTCAAAGACAGCTCCGCCGGCCCGACATTCAAACATATCCCAAGCAAACCACAGAGCACCCTGATTGCATCCACATCAATGGAGCCATCTAGCTACTATTCGAAGTTCAGGTCAGCTTCGATCTCCTGGTCCTAGACCATGGACGCTTTAGGGGTTCAGTTCGGGGACCATCCCCAGTAGATCCTGAAAGATCTTGCATGGCGGCGAGTCAGGCCCGGGCCAGCACCGAGGAAAAAGGGCCCCAGCAAGGCTCAAATGAGGTCAGGATCTGGGCACCTTCGGACTTTGGGACTCTGTGGAAATAATGGATGCCCAGCACCTCTAAGCATGTCTGCACAGATGGCAGGCATGCCATGCAGAAAACGAATTGGCAAGGAAGACCATGCCAGCCACATCGTTTGAAGGATGTTGGCTTTCTCAGAATGACTCAGCCGAGACACAAGGTCTCAACAGCAAGAATGCGAGACCTGCTGATGCTGATTCGGATGCTTCTCGCCCTTTGTGCACCAGAAACCCTCTTAGTTCCTCCAGCAAGTGTCAGCATCGGCAGGCAGCCCTTCCCCTATCCGAAAGCCATAGCAGCCACATGCCGAGCAAGAAAACTTCAGGCAGCGACTCCCTGAAGCAGCTGCTCAGCATGCGCAATGGCTCCGGAGGCTGCTTCGGGACCTTGGGATGAGCTGCGCAGATAAGGAGCTCGGACACCGGAAGGAACCACACGAACAGGCACCCGTCTGCTGTTGGCGGATGTCCTTAGGCCCTCGGCCACCGAAAGCCCGAGCACGCCGTATGGCGCCTTGCATGACATTCGTGCCAAAAAAATCCAGTCGAGAGCCAAAAACATGGCAGCTGCACGCATCGCTGTGTCCAGCGGCGACATGTCACCTGCCTCGTCCTCGTTAGAGAACATGCGAAGGCATGCCACGGCATGCAAGGATTGCCAGTGCAGACTTATAGATCCCGAAGACCAGCAGATTCCTACACGCCTCGCCGAGTGTGCCACACGGCTCAGACTGTGCAGCGACTGGCTGTGCCTCCGCACCTGCGAGCACGCACCGTCCGAACGAGCGAAACAAACATCTTACTTTGACAGTCGATCTGCAGCACTAACCGGCGAGCTGCAGTATCGCCTTGCTCAGACTGCGACGACACAAGAAAGACAGCTCTGCGGCTGAGGCAGCCGCCGACGCCGCCGAACGCCCGTGCACGTCGCACAGCACCTTGAGCTTGTAAGTAGCCTACTCGAATGCCAGAAGAAACATGACATCTTCCAAATGTCATCTGACCGAACTGCAAACATGGCGGTAATGCGCAGTGTACTACCCATTGGCGAGTCCTCGTCTGATTCATCGACGGCCTCACGGTTTTTGACCGACAGCCACTGCAACCGAACCGCAAGACATTCCATCCGTCGCAACTGCATGACGATTAAATCGAGCCGGCTGGCAATTTAGTGTGCCCCAATGTACCTCGTTGCTCACACCTAGTCGCGCAGCTGCACGAGCACTGGCTGCTTGTGCAAGTTCTGCACCTCGGCCAAGGCGTCTACACAGAGCTCTAACGCATTCCCTGTAAAGCCTTTTGCAACCAGAGGCCATGGCCGCCAAAAGCCCTCGCTCGGCGTATCGCGCCTCATGACACAACTATCTTCTCCGAGGAAGCCAGGCCGACACCGCAGAGCACATATCCGACTGCAAGCGCGGCAGGACGACGCATGGCACTGTCCAATGGGGAGTCGTCGCTCTCAATGGCCTCTGGAAGGTTGAACATAGTCGTCACACTTCGTCACAACATTCACAACACAAGAAGCCCAGACCTCGTCGCCTGCGGCACCGAATCGCACGGCGGCCCGAGCGCTCGCGGCCTGTGCCTTTTCGGCGCCTCGGGCCCAAATGTCATGCCATCACGGTCATTGTCGGACATCATCATCAGGTCGGACGGGTGTGGGACCGGCGTGGGGGGTTTCGGGATGACGGATGTGAAAAAGGACGTATCTGCACTCGGCACATCTCGGCCCCTTGGAGGTAAGTTCTCAAGAGCTGGTGAGGACCGCAGGATCGGGGGGGAAAGAAGGGAGAGAGTCAAGCAGTGTCAGCTACAGCAGTGTCGCGAGAAACCTGGGCCAAAAAGCTGCTCACCTGTCCAGCCATGGTCGAGATCTCAGGCTGTTACCACCGAACGCACCAGCACGCCGAATTGCGCCTGGCGCTGGCATATCGCCACAATTTAAAGCTCGGTTGCAAGAATGGGCAAGCACGGCAGCAGTACGCAAAGCTGTGCCCATGGGCGAGCTGTCAGCTGGCTCTTCCTGCGCACACATGCACACAGGAACGAAAAGCATGTCACATATCCACACAAGCTTTGAATGCACCGGATGCACAAATCTGAAAAGTCCTTGCCCATCTATAAGCACAGCTAAATTCGCTGTATAGATGCATCTAAGACTTGAAGGCTGAAGGTATGCGTAGGCTGCGCCCTTACACTTTGCAAAACGGCTACTTGCCCAGAGGTTTGGCCTTTCTTTTCAGGGGCGATGGAGCTTTGGTCGCATCCGTAGAGTCTGACCTTGTGCCGGGAAGGTGAAGAGGATCCAATAAGCTCATATCTGGCTACGAGTACCTGTTGGCTTTCGAAAGTAGCATTGCAAGCACCTGCACTCTTCCTAGAACTCTGAAAAGCACTCAATCGTGGTCTTCAGCTCCTGACGGCAGGCCCTGGAATGAACGCGATCTCCTTGAGTCGCAACAGCTTGCAAGAAGATAAGAGGCAAGCGTCCGCGCACTACTTCAGGATGCACTGAGCTCGAAAAGCCCACTCTTTTCTGTCGAGACTCTTGTTCAGCAGCATATTCGTGCCAACAGGAGACACATCTGGACCTGGATGGCTTTACATCATGAATGCCAGCATTCAACATCAAAAGAAACCGGTTTTGCAGCCTGCACTCTGGATGCCGGCAAAACGAAATAGCCATCGAATACTGACATGCAGTCGCACATATCTGCCTTGCGCGAAGCTGAGTCTGCTGAGCTTGGGACTGAAAGCCTGTCAACAACGTACTTTGGCGGTTCACGGACTTAGGAGGCCAGGTTTCGGTAGTGATTGAAGTATGCTTCATAAATGACGGCTTCGCCATCACATGACACGCTCCTGCACGCGCATTGTCCCGCAACCGTGCTAATAAAAAGGGCATGACCTTCCCTAACCTGTGACCGTTGCACTGCACCACATGACACCCCTGGCCTGATGGCTCGCACCTTTCGGGATAAACGGCAACGACAAGGTGTCCGGCCTGAAGCATGCGCGCAATGCTGGAAGCTTCGCCAATAAACAAGATTGCTTCGCATTGACGTATTTCCAATTGTGCAACGAAGAGCTGCTCATGCAAGTGCACTCACGGATAGTTTTCACCACTTGCCGCTTGCCACAACAATGGCACCAACAGGATGTAATATCAGGCCCTGGCATGTTCAGCCAAGCAGACTGTGACCACTCCTGCTCAACGCAAACATCAACATGGTTAACATATATCATACATTTGACATAATCCACTTGCAGCTATTGACAACAGGCTACGCGTATTGAGCATTACACTCTGTGATGCGCATAAAATCTGTCCAACCACACAAGGTCGACCTGCAAAATGCAACTTCGTATGGAAAACGAAACTGCCAGAAACGCATGCACCGAAAACACATCTGCCTCTGTGGTGTGCAATGCTCGATGCAGGCTCCAAATGCATAAGGTTTGGGCCGGAGGCATTGATATTGCACTGGTGCCCATGCCACTACAGCAAAACAAAGATATTCGCCGCTGGATGGTCGAATCACTGCAAGTTAAGAACGTTCAACACTGGCGTGCAAGCAAAACACGAAGCATTTTGCAGCTGTCTAAACCTTTGAATTGAAATGAAGGCAGATACCGCCTTTTTCGAGCGCAGAAAATCCTGCTGTAAATTGTAACTGCTGATGCCACGTGTTCGCATTCCCTTGTCTGTAAGACGCGTAAATCGTCTTACATCTTTCAAACTCGATTGAAGAGAAAAGTTGGAAATATCTCATTAATTAAAATCAGCAAAATCAAGCCTCTACGTAATTTCCATTGAGTGGTGTTTCCGCACGTTCCTTTGATTGATTGAGATGCCTCGGATCGGTGCATTTGATCCGATCCATCAAGGATCCAAAGACAAAGGATTCAACGCAGAAATCGTCCAGACAACGGCCACATGTTGTGCCTAGAAGCCATTGCATGCACACCAAGCTCAAAGCTTGCAAGAACTGGATTCTATCACAGCCATCTCTGGCCAAAAAACTGTTGGCTGCTGCAGGCTGCTTCCAGCAACGATGATAATTTTCCACCAAAACCACTTGCCGCTCCGCTGGCGTGCCCAATGTTGAAGCATCAAGAATGAAGTAGCTTGTGAAACCAGCAGAAGCCGCAACCGGGCGGTCGTTCTCGATCTCACGAGCAGGCAGGCGGTGAGTCCACGTTGCACAAGCTTTCTCGAAAACATCGCAAGAGATTTTGGTGCCGATGACGCCAGAAAAAAAATCTCGAGACACCAAATGGGCTTTTTCCAGCGGCTCTAGAGTCCAAACATCTGAAATTGTCAGGAACGAGCAGCTGAACGCTCTCAAAGAGGTGAGAAATCTCTTTTTCAGACTTCGGAAAAAAGCCGCATGCCATTCTGAATGAATTTTTTTTATCTAGCTTCTCTTTTTCTTTGGAAGAAACTGAGAAAGTGCTCTTGGCGAGGAAGAAGCCAAAGTTGCGGCGTCACGCTCGGACTTGGCAACTTTTCAAAATGCGAACCATCGGCATTGGGCAACTTTTCCAAAAGCCTATGGATCTGCATGCAACACAGTCCAGTCTGAAAAACGTCTGCTCGACACATCCGCATTTGTTGTCTTGGTTGCAAAAAAAACATAAGCACGTTCCCTTTCGCAAGACATCCGAACAGCAACGAGGAAGAAACTTCCCAGCAAACTTGTCCGCTCTCTGCCTCCATGGCACAAGCACGACGCAACTTGACTCCAGCAGCTTATCGAACATGACACTGTTTCAACGAGCAGCGAAGAGTGATCTTTGGTTCTCTCTCGCCAATCGTTTTGCAAGAGAAAGCACTTGCCTCTCTCTTGTGCAGGTGCCCTTT